CGGTAGTTGGTGAGCTCAGAGCAGTCGAGGTCAGGTTTCTTTAACAGGGCTTGTACGACTGCATGTGTAAAACTTGAGGGCACCACTCCACCAGCCAAACTTCCATTTAAAATAGAAAGGACATGAGGTGCCAATACGTGAAAAACCTCTTTAAAAAGGCGAGAGGGTAATGTCATCAGGGGAGCCAGAAGGTTTAATCTGATCCAGAACTTTCTCTAAAAAAGTTCACGTTACAGGTTCAAACTGATCGAGAACAACAGAGGAAAATCTAGGCCTGCCAGGATCATACTGAGGGACTCATCAAAGCCCTGGGAGTTTCAACCTTTTCAATAAAAATAAAATCAAAAGTCCTCACAAAGTTTTGGGGAGACTTGTGGATAAAGGTGTTGGTGTTGTTCTGCATTGAGATCATTTTTAACTGTTTCAAATAGGACCCAACAGTTGTGGACATTAGAAGCAATAATAACAGAGAAATGCCAGTTCTTCTCCGTCCTGACAGTTTCCTGGTAAAAACACCAGCTGAAGATACTTGAAGCTTAACTTCCACTTTCTTTCAGACTTTCTACTCTCATGTGGAGCAGCTCGTGTGACTCAGCTCAGTTTTGGGCCTGAAGAGCCTCGGCTTTACTGGGGCACGATGTCTAGTGCTGTTCTACAAACAGAATTAAATCCAATATATAAATCTTCAACAGATGTGTCAGTGCCAGTAAAAGAGCTCTGATGATTTAACTACGTCACTGAAGAGGAGAATTTCAGACAAAACAGGCAAATGATCAGAAAAGAAAGTATCAGAAATCTGGAGGTTATGTACAGAAAATCCATGGGTTAAAACAAAATCCAGAGTGTGCAGTCGCTCACGTGTGCGACCATCGACGCACCACACAAGATTAAAACATTCCATCAGACTTAAGAGGTCTTTCGCCAGTGGCTTTTCCAGGCAACACACATGAATATTAAAGTCCCTGTAATAAGGATGTGGTCACACACTGGCATGTGTCACACTAAAACTCACACAAGTCTGATTATTCTTGTTGTATTTTGGTGTCGTATATTTATCACCACACACAGAGTCAGAGGAGCAGAGCCAAGTTCAGACAAGAGCATCTCAAAGCTGCACAAGACACAGACGGCACAAACGACTCACATTTAAAGTTACTTTTGAAGACTCCTGAGAGTTTTCCTCACCAATGCCCTCGGGGAGTTGAAAAACAAATGTAAAAGTTCAGAAAAAGCACTCGACTCGCCCACAGTAATCCACCATTGTTACTCACAGAAAATCCAATTCTTGCGGCTCAGTCAAATCCTTCAGGATAAAAGTTTTATTTACTCGCGATCGAGCCCTGACCACAGTGAAGCTGGAGCTGGAGCCGTGAGCACAGTCCAAGCTCTGAGCATTCGAGGTTTGCGCTGAAGTCGGGAGACGGCGAGGAAAATTCTGATCCAAGTCGACAACTGGAACCAAACAGAAGTTCATCGGGTCCTGGGAACGACCACGAGATGAAGCGGTGATATTCCTGTTCGATCCGCGGAGATCCTGCAGAGGAAAATGCCAACAGAGTCTCCAGCTTCACGAGTTTGCCTCCGCGTTTCCCACGGCACCACACACCAGTCACACTGGGCACTGTGACTGAAGTGTCTTGCTCAAGGACACAACGGCAGGTGAGCCTGGAATTGTAGCAGGTGTTTCGGTCGTTAGAAGCACGATTTCCTCCTCCAGGTGAGGAAGTGTCTTGCCCAGTGTAACGACTCAGCTCGTTTGGGGTGAGGGAAGAAACAAAAATAAACCAAGATGGAAAAATTGGAATAAATGGAGTCAAGTTTAATAGACGCATCAAGAATCTCAGACTTCAGGTCATTGTGCAATTCACACTGGGAAGGATTTTCTGAAAAAGTGAACATCAAACCTCCATGTTTGTTTTCACAGTGGGATGTGTCTATTGACAAAGTCGATCTTCTCAAGTCTTTTGAACCATTTCACTTTTGTTTCTGGTTCTGATATTGTCATATTTTAGTTTTGGGATTCGGACATCGTCATTGTTGTGGTTGTTGGATCCTAACAGCGGAAAACAACTCGAGAAATGTGTTTGTTAACTTCATAAATGCAAAAGTGAATCAGATGTGTGTGACTCAAACCTCCGTTCAAACTGTTTCTCTTCACAACGGAATTGAAAAATAGTGAAAGGTGAAGGTGATGGGCAGGATTGATCCACAGGAAAGACGAAAAAGGAAACATTTGACTGCCTAAATCATCCCGAGTTTACAGAGAACATTTTGTATGTGGAGCGACAACAAAGTGGAATCCTGTTTGTTAATGTAGAGGAGCAGAAGACAAACAGACTGAGCTGCACTTTCTTGTTCTTGTGGTTTTACAGAAACATCACGTCTTGGTCTTTGCAGTGGAAGGTGTTTCTTGGTGAACAGTTGGAGACTTTCACTTTGGTGTTGACTTTTTAAATTCGTAACCAAGACTGAGCGAGGGATCGGGATTTTGCTTTGATGTCGCTCCACATACAAAATGTTCTCTGTAAACTCGGGATGATTTAGTCAGACAAATGTTTCCTTTTTGGTTCTTCCTGTGGATCAATTCTGCCCATCACCTTCACCTTTCACTATTTTTCAATTCCGTTGTGAAGAGAAACAGTTTGAACGGAGGTTTGAGTCACACACATCTGATTCACTTTTACATTTATGAAGTTCACAAACACATTTCTCGAGTAGTTTCCGCTGTTAGGATCCAACAACCACAACAATGACGATGTCCGAATCCCAGAACTAAAATATGACAATATCAGAACCAGAAACAAAAGTGAAATGGTTCAAAAGACTTGAAAAGATCGACTTTGACAATAGACACGTCCCAAAACAAACATGGAGGTTTGATGATCACTTTTTTGGAAAATCCTTCCCAGTATGAATTGCGCGATGACCTGAAGTCTGAGATTCTTGAAGTGTGTATTAACAGGAATGTAAAAGTAAATTAACAAAACAGACTAAAAAACACAGAAAATAACCTAAACTAAGAAACGAAACAACAGACGAGTTTTGGGCCACAAAACGGGTCACGCAGGTCTTACACAAAACAAGTGGTAAAACTAAGGGACACACACAAACTAAAACACAAGTTCCCCAAACTAAACCACATAAGCTCAAAAAGAAACGAGTGACCAAATTTAAAAAACAGGCACAAAGCCGAACTAAACTCCAGACCTGAACACGCACAAACAGCAGACCGAGACTCCAAGGCCACAGCCCCGGACAGGTGCAGGAGTCTCCTTCAGTTGTGGGCGGTGGCTGCAGGTGAGGCGGGTGCGGACCTGCCCCACCAATCACAGACCAGAGCTCCCACAGCAGGAGGCGGGAGAACTCAGCAACATCATTTAGAACAAACAAAACAAATTAGAAC